TACCGCATTACCCGAAAAGAGCATTGTCATGCCAGTGGTTATGTAACTCTTCTATATCTGACAATCTTTCTGGCATTTGTGGACAGAATCTGATTAAAAAAACCTGATTGTATTTCTAAGGAAATGTGAAGATCAGGGGGAAAGTATCCACTAATATAGGGAAAAACAGACAGAAAGTCTTTATTTTCACTATGCTAATTAACATAACCAATTCATTAAACAATTAGTCTTAGAAAATCAGATAAACACAAACACAGACCCTCTGTCAAGCATGTCAAGCATCAAAAATTAATAATGATAACAGGTAAAATCTCCACATTCTCAAGCTGTTTGGTGTTGCAATTCAGTTATGTTGATGAAAAGAAAATATTACATGGGAAAATCATATGCCTTGTTTTCCTGTTAATACCTTTATTTGTATATGTCATAGGAGAGCTGTAGGGTTAAGGAAGATGGGAGATGTGTTATTACAGCAGTCAAGGAGACTGTATAGTACAAGCTTGGTGTGAACAAGTACTTTGTCAATATCCTCTGGTCTCCAGTGAGCAACAAGAATGGCTCTCAGGATATTGCAACTCTGTCTGCTTCCACCAGAGATCATAATTGGGCTATGAATTTTTACAGCAGGAAGGTCTTCCTGCCATAGGCACAGACTGACAAAAAGTTTAGATAAATGAATGCCCTCAAAAATCTCAGCACAATATGAGTCATATACGAGGACATCACTTAAATATGTAGAGTCTGTACTTCTTTTACTTTCTTTAAAATAGATTTCTAATATGGTTTACTGGTTAGAGCTTCTCAAATATAACTTGTTTCTAAGGATTCCTCAGCATTCTGGTTTTCTGCCTTCCCAGTGACATAATACACACTTTGGGGAATTTAAGAAGCCAATTGAGGTGAGTGGAGGTGATTTATAAATCGAAAGCAAATGATAGCAAAAGATGTGAACTAAAGCTATTTCCTGATCTGCGAAAAGCTAATTGGGCACATTTCAGGCCAGGTCTCTGAAGGCGCAGCTCATGAACTCTGTCTTACTGATGCTGTGCTCATTACAGACACTCAATAGAGGACCGGCTAATGCTAGGGAAATCCCACCAAGGTGGCTTTTATAAGACACTGCAGATTTACCTCAGGAAGAGAAGAAAAAAGGTAGGGGGAGATTCCAGGCAACTACCTGCTTGTAGATTCCTTTTTGCCTTATTTAATTTATCTGAAACTGATAAATTAGTCTCTAAAGGCTACTCTGCACAAAATCTCAAGGGGCTTTTGTCTTGCTCAAACATATCAAAGTTTTTCTAGGCCTTATTTGTTACTCATTTTTGTTGAAATAAATTTGGAATTTTTTGGTTCTGGGCTAGTATTTGATAATGAAAACTACATGCAGTGCACATGACTTGATATTCTGAAACAACCTATATTTACTCCTGATGCTTAAACATTTAAATGATAATTTTGAATGAATTTAATTGTTATCTAAATCTAAGCTAGCCTCAATTATTCATATTAATAATTCCAGGTGAAGTGAAATGTACTGCATGGGCATCTCACTTTTAAATAATCAAATATCAAAAAAAGTAAGACACTGTACATGTCCACAATGTTGCATGTAAGAAAATTTTCAGAAGCAACATGGTGGGTGATACCTATGTGGGGACTTGAAACTAGGGTCTGAGGCAATAACATTTTCCAGAAGGGAATGGTGGAGTCTAATCCTAGAAATCTTCTTGAGTAATATTGTCACATATTACAAGCAAGGTTTAGACATTTATAATCCAAAACTGATAATCTCTCTGGGTCTTTTGCAGTTATGGAGTATGATTCCATTTCAGAAAACTCAGTAAAACTTCCCTTATCACTGTATAAGTGTTGTAAAATGTATGGTTGTCCATGAGTTAGCTCATCAAAGACAATATGAAAAAAGTACTCAAAATATTTTATAAATCTCTACAATGTTCTCCTTTAATAGATCTTTAAATTTTAGAAAAGATATTCTGTATATTGAGACAAGAATTGCTACTCTACACTTTTGTGTAACTAGAGAGCATAGGAGGTTTGGTGGGTATTAAGGACCCTTTGTGAAGTAATTAACTTATGGATTTTACTTTGTATTTTTCTAAGCACTTAATTGACTCTCACGCCAAATTTTAAAGATACGTAAATAATTTGCCATTCAGATGATAGTCTTTTGATTCATAAAACTGATATATAAACATAGATATTCAGAGACAGCGAGGATCTTAATAGTCATCTAGTCTAAATTCTTCAATTTTATCAGGTAAGGAGGTCAGAAGCAGGATATGTGACTCTCCACTGGTTTGCACGTCTATGCTGTGACAGCGCAAGAGCAAAAAGGCCAATCTACCTATTCGTAATCAGGTCCCCTTGTCTACACTGCACGAGGGCTATATTGACTAGGGCAGTTTTAAATCTTTGTAGATGTTTCATTGTAAATTGATATTTTAGTGTTTTAAATGATAACATAATCAGAAACCATACAAATCTGAGCTGTAGACATTCTCTCTTAAAATGTAAGGTTCTCCTTTATATTTTCTTGAATATTAGCACCCTTTGTTCAATAAGAAATAAAGTAGAAAATCCTATATTGTAACAACATTCATTACATTTAAAAAGTTGGAAAAATCAGTTTACATGTGATTAAGTTTTAATTAATGCCCTTAACTTAGGTCCCAGCAACTGTAAAATAATGTTCTTAGCTTAGACGAAAGTAACACTCATCAGAAGACAAAGACTCAAATAAAAAAGCTTTCCTTTAAAAAAATACACGCATATACATATTATATATGAAACATATAACAACTTATATCTTGATTTTTAAATAAAGTAGATTTTGTACTGAATGCTGACAATAGATGCAAGTTGTACAGCTGAATTCATTCTAATAAGTCATTTAAAAAGGATGAGGACAATTCTCTTATGTCTATACTCATTCAATGTAAACAGAAATCTTTTGCACATAAATTCCTTCCAGTCAATTGTCCAAAATGGAAACACATTCAAAGGATATATATGCTAAAATAATGAACAGAAGAGGAAAACATAAAAACAGAAATATTTTTGAATAATGTAGAATGCTTCCTCCCCCAAATTACATGTGAGACAAAATGTGCATTGTCATATTTGCTGGATAAACTGCCCCAAAGCTATTTTTTACCAATGTTTCATTTTAAAACTTTGTTTTGTACTTTTTCAATTAGCAAAGTTACTTCAGTCAAAAAGTTATTTCTGTTGAAATGGACCAACACACTATTATAGGTCACTTAAATATTCACTTGACTACCTAATTCTGAAAAGCTCTCTTTACCCAAATCCCACCTTTCTAAAGAAAAAAAAATCATTCTATTTTTCTTCAATTTAATTAGCTCTTGTGAACAGATATTTTTTAACAAATACGTATTTTAGATGAACTATTGTTACAATTAATGTGTGGGACAAGTGTTTTAGGAATTAACCAGGCAGGAGCACAACTTCTGCTAACCCACAGTAGCCCCTCCTTGGGGGAGTGGCTAGTTCTTGGACGAAGTAACTCGGACAAGGAGGGAGCTGGTCCTTGGCCAATAAAACAACTCAAGTCTACTCATCTCCCCTCTCCCATCTTTATTCTCTGCCCTTTCAGCGGCAACTTTTTCACAAGCCTTGTGCTAAATCCAGAAACTTCTGGATATTGAACTTCCTCCTGCTTTTTCTCTCCTGCGCAGTCTCCAACAACTTGGACCTAGGACTTGGGGACTGCTCATTGCCCATCTGCTTTGGGTAGGTCCTTTCCAGCACCAGGGAGAGCCACCGCTAGTTCACCTTCACGAGACTGGTGGAATTTATCTATTATACCCACACGAATTCAAGTTCCAAGGAGCTACACTGACTCATTGATTTGTATTTTGGTTCAAGGCTCCCAGTACCCATACTATATAACATAGACTCCCTGTAGGCAGGGAATTTGGCAGATTTGGCCTGATTTTAGTCTCTCTTCCAGCAATCCCTCCAAGCCTTATAAGTGTGTTTGGCACGTGATAAGTGTCCAATAAACAAACTTTGAAGAAGAGAGGATTGTATTAAACGAAGAAAAAGCTGGAAAGGTTCTTAAAATTTGAAGGTTTTCCTATGTGTCCATGAAAAAAGACGAAAAAAGTAAGTTTCGGAATATCATTATTACTAATTACTGTTTTAAATCAACCTTTTCAGATTTTCACTGGCATCAATCAGGCAGGCAGCAAGAAATCCAGGCAGCAGGCTGTCCACTGCCCCCAGTCAGGAGACACAGAGCCTCAGGTCAAAAACTGGAACAACTTCTCAGAGTCCTGACAGATAGGCTGGTGGCTTCCGTGGGGCTCTCGGTCCCCTATTCCCTTTTGCCCGCTGCCTTCTGGGAGCGCTGGAACCACAGAGGGCTTTGCATGGGCGCACACCTATTTTCCGGGTTTTAGGAGGAGCCCGCGGGGGGGAGGGCGCGGGGCAGGGGAGCGGTTAGGGGGACGACGGAGCCCCGCGGAGCCCCTCAACCTTTCCCACAACTGTGGGGAGCTCGCGCGCTGCGCAGGGCTCTCTCTTGCGTTGCAGTTGCTCTGGAGATGCTGGAGCGCGATGCCCTGCTGCTCCACCTTGCTCACTGAGCTCTGCGCGGGGAGCCCGGGGGCGGGCGAGGGGCGCAGACTGCGGTAGAATGCGAGCCCCGCACCTCTGGCGCCACGCCACGTTGCTTGAGCGCGGTCAGGTGCTGCTCGCCGGCTGTTCGCTGCTCCGCTAACTTGATACTTGGTGGTGTCTAGTCTCCGAGGCTTTTCAAGCTTTGTGGTGGTGGGGGGCGGGGAGAGTGGAGAGTTAAAGGGTCTGCGGTAGCCGAAGGAGGGATCCTGCAAAGGGGAGCCTGCCTGGTGCAGCTCGTCTTCTCCTCCCTAGCTCCCCTCCCCCCACCCCGTCGCTGCCTCTTTCCCTTCTGCCAATTCGGAGAGCTTCGGGCGCCTGTGAAATGCGATCGCTGCCAAGTGACAGTCCCCGAGTCTGAAGTGCCCGCGAGGAAGTGAGCGCCAACGCGGGCCGCCGGCGATGACAGCCATGAAGCAAGAGCAGCAGCCCACTACTGGGGCCAGGGCGAGCCAGGCGCAGCCGGCGGACCAGGTGAGTTGGCAGCTGCGGCCAGGCCCTCTAGGGAAGAGAGGCTCGGGTCTGAGCTCCTCCGGCCCCTCCTCCCCTGCTGGGCTCCCACGCCTCCCTCTCCCCACCCTCCCCGGCGGCCCCAGTTCCAAGCTCCCCTTCGCTGTTCACGGACTCTGTAGGAAGTTAGAGCTTCCGAGTGCGCTCTGGGGCCGGGCGAGAGGATGCGCAAGGTGGAGAGCCTTGGGGAAGGGGGCAGAGAGGTAAAGGCTGGAGATGGCCCGAGAACCCCTGGCGAGCAAACCACCGAGGGCGTGAGAGATAGCCGGGGCCAAAGAAAGGGGGTCTCTTGGCTTCTAGTAACGCACACCGGAGGCATTGGTGCGCTCCTGGGGGTGCTCACTTGCAGGGTTCCAGCGCTGGCCGAAGCTACCCAAGGAGGCAAATGACCTTTAGGCCCGTAGAGTTTTTCCTTTCATCTCCTTTTTTTTTTTTTTTTTTTTTTTTTTTTTTGAGGAGGTAGGGACAGGAGGCTAAAGGGGGGAGAGGATATATCAGGTCATCTGTAGTCTGCCGAGTGGAGCGGAGATTAGTAGCAAAAAGACAATCATTTTGGGGAGCTGGGAAGACACTGGCTTTGGTGATTTGTTGGGTCCAGATGTACCGTGTTTACAGAGATGAGGTGTCCTGTGCTTAGCTGAGGATCTTTTCTGGCCCCTCGACATCTTTCTGCGCTGGCCACCCCCTTTTTTGGGTTTCAGTCTTTATGGATCTGTAGCATAACCATATGGCGGATCTCCATCGCGTCTCTGGCCCTTGGTTGGGGTGAGTGGTGAGTCCGCTGTCGCTTTTTCCCAAAGTTGTAGGGTCTGGAGCAATAAGGTGCCTTGTCTGAGAGAGGGAGGCTGTGATGCGTTGGCTCCAGGTGCTGTCACGTTAAATCAATTAGAGACTGTGAGCTGAGAAGGTTACACTTAGTTATGTCAGCGGATAACCACGAAGCTGGAGCACAGAGGTGCTGGGGTACAGAATGGGCCTTCTGTCCCCAGTGTATTGTTGAAAGCTACCCGATGTTTCTGGCAGATACACTCCCAGCTAATTGCTAGAAGTGGGATGAAGGGGTGCGAGCAGCCAAGCTTCAGTAGCGGCTCTGCCCTTTGCATATTGTCAGCACTGAGGGGCAAGTGGAGGAGAGCTGTTTAAATTGTCCGGGAGTGGCCCCGAGGCAGAGGAGGAGATACTGGGGCTGCTGTTATTCATATTCTAGTCTTGGTCATCTCTCCCGGCTTGAGATTTCTCTCTTCTCTTTCCCTCCCCTTCTCAGTTCCTTCATGTACCTTTCACACAGGTGGTACTACTCAAAGCCTTAAAGCCCACCCCCCTAGTTTTCTGGGGTGAATGTTTTAGTTTTTAGAAAGGAAGTTTTCTTAAACCATCTTCTTTGCTCCCTTTCATAAGTATGAAAGGATTAACAAGTTTATATTATATTGTATGTCTCTTCCCCTTACATCTCATTTCCCTGCTCCCTCCAACACACACTACAAGGTGGCAACTGGTGAGGAGATTATAAAAATCATTTCAGGAGAGGAGCAGGGATTTAACATCCTCTTTCAGCCCCTAAATTTCATTAACACACCACTGAGCTTCTCTATTGCTCTTGGAATGATGCTACCAATAAGAATGATTAGTCAGGTGAGAGTCCCCACATGAAATCTTTGCTCACTAACCTGTGACACCAGCTGGTTACTTGAGGGGCTGCAAACAGTTCAGTGTTGGTGGAGGTGGGGAGGAAGACGCCTAGCAGTGCAGAGGGAAGCTGAACATGTGGGTGTAAATAGTGCATAGCAAAACCTTTCGTCAGGTCTACTTTGGTACTTCAAATTCAAGCTCGAATCCATTTTTCTTGTTAGCATCCATATTCCAAATATTCAGGGAGAGTTCTACAAATGAATATTTGTTTTAATTGAGTTTTTAAAGTCCCCTTCTGAGTATTTATGTGATTTTAAAATGTCAGTGGTATGCATATTATGCTTGAATGAAAATGAAGGAGATTAATTTTGCCAGGAGAAGCAAAGTCAGATTGAAATGGACATGGCAGCGCCTCATGGGGGGGTTCCCAGCACTCCCAGAAAATACTGGTATAGTCTTTGTCTAAAGCTCGATATGTATGTCAAGTGATACCCGCAGATAATGCCGACAATTGCTGTGAACGCTTAAACTACTTGCCGTAAGATTACTAAGTTTTTATTAACAGTATTAGTCATTGTGGTCTAATTTTGCAATTGCCACACAACTCCCATGTGGTACTAGATATAACACTTCCACATAGACATGATTGATTATTCAGGCTCCTCTGATATTTCTGAAAAAAATATTCACAGATTTAAATAAAATGTAGCTTTATGAAGCCCTACTTAATGGTTAATAGGGGGTGTGTTCCAGCTAATCACTCACTGTGTATTGATTTTGAGTGATTCAAGCTCTTGAATGCTGCCAGAAAGGTTTTTCTGTTTTCTAAGGCAGAGACTTTTATGAAACCTCAAAATGCCTTGTCCTGAAGCTATTAGACACCTATTTTCACTTACAGCAGAATAGAAGGCCTTACTTAGTCTTCTGTCTGCTTGAAATGGTTAGGACCATAGATTTTAACTGGCTGTTGTTTCGGTCCTTTAGAGAGCTCAGCCTCCTTGTTCTAGCTTATCCGTTCCTGTCCCCTGGCACAGGGTGCCAAGGGAGGCACCCTTTCCTCAGGAGCAGCAGCAACATGAATAGCAGGGATCGTATACTTTTAATAATATTCTGAATCATTGGAAATATTTTTAAAGATTTTATTTATTTATTTTTAGAAAGAGGGGAAGGGAAGGAGAAAGAGAACTAGAGAGATATCAATGTGTGGTTGCCTCTCATGTGGCCCCCCCTGGGGACCTGGCCTGCAGTCTAGGCATGTGCCCTGACTGGGAATCAAACCAGCGACCCTTGGTTCGCAGCCCACACTCAATCCACTGAGCTACACCAGCCAGGGCTGGAAATATTTTTTATCATCTCAGTAGTATTTCCTTTAAAGCTTCATTGATTAAAATAAATGTTTACTCCAATTACTTTTGTGGTTTCCATGACACTTCACATTTACAAGTGTCTAAAAATAAATGCATTGGTAAGGTTAGATACAGTAATTCCTATTTAACCTGCTCAATATCCCACTTTACACTGAGGGACCCAAAATCGTGAGTTGCTAGTTTTAACTTTTATTAACGATTTTATTTTTTATTTATTTTTAGAGAGAAGGGAAGGGAGGGAGAAAGAGAGGGAGAGAATATCAGTGTGTGGTTGCCTTGTGTGCAACCCCCCACTGTTGCGTCTGGCCTGCAACCCCGATATGTGCCTTGACTGGGAATTGAACTTTGACCCTTTGGTTAGCAGGCTGGCACTCCACTGGGTCACACCAGCCAGGGCATGTAACTCATTTTTTTAACTCACATTTTAAAAATGCTTGCCATGTGCAGAGTTCTGTTGTCCCGGCTGGTAAGGTAACATTTATTGAATGCATTTTCCTGCTTGACCTTCAAAGCAACTTTTTGAAGTAGGTACTATTGTTATTCCATTTTATAAATGAGAATGCAGAGGACCAAATGAACTAAGCAATTTGATCAAGCTTGTCTTCACAGGCAGTGGCAATAAGACTTAGTCTTAGTCTCTGACATTTAAGTAAATTAAAAAATAAATGTATTTAAGTGTGAAGCCCTACTTTCTAATTTTTACAAAACCACAATTCAACACATTTCTATTAGAAGAATGCAAAACAATTGCAAATAGTGTTTGTGTGCACAGTTTTACCTTGAATATAAAATGGATGCAAAATTTGTTCGAAAGCTTTAACAAATAATAATAGCTCTCAGAATTTTAAAGGTAACATTTTTTCCTTTGATAGCATAATAATAAAGAACCACACAGACCTTGATGAGTGCATAGGAACTTGTTTTTTTATAAATGTGTTTATATAGTCATTTGCCTTTCATCATGATGAGACTTTTAAGGTTTGTTGAAAGAGTACAATTTCTAGTCAGATTTGGTTTAGAGTTTGCCCACATTTCCACCAGGTGGCACCCTTCTGCTGAATCCAGTGGGTAAAAATATTTCCTGAAATGTTTATCCTTTCAGCCTCAAAACCCAAGCCAAACCAAAAAAAAAAAAAAAAAAAAAACCCAAACCAAACAAAAATAAATTAATAAACAAAATAGGAAAAACCCACCCTACTTTCTAAAATATAACTGAAAAAGCACATTTTATAAGCAACTATTTATGTTGCAAGAATAGTGTTAGTTATGCATTTTTCTTTAAATAATTCTGGTAGAAAGCCAATCACATTTGAACATGTAGCAACCTTTTGATCAAATAATTCATGGAAAAAATTGTGATTAAATATGTAATGTATAAAATGCCTTTTTTATCATGCTTTTTACCTTTAAGTAATATTAACCTAAAACATTTCTATAGAGAAATTAGGATTTGGTAATTTTACTTCAACTTTGGTCTAGCAAATCTGATTTAAATGTCAAATATATACTTAATAAAACTCACCAAAAAGTTATTCTTTCATGTTTCCCTGATAATATATAAACATGCCATCATTTAGTCTATAAACTGTTGCTTTCATCACAGAACTTCAAAAATAACTTTTAGAAATCATGTTGAAGATCTTTATTTAATAGATTCATTACTTTCCTTCTAAGTATTCAACATAAAATATATGGTATCTATTTACTGGGAGAGTTCTACCTGATATGATTATAAAAGATAATTTAGATTGGCTGGAGGCATCATGCAGAAGTAACTTGTGACTTAGGAGATATTATGATTTAGAAGATATCATGAATTCTCTACTAACCCTTTATATATATACACTATATCTTCATATATTTGGCATTTAATATACTGAGTTTAGAACATACCATGGAACATCCCTTGTTTATATGCTTCTAATCTCTATATGTTTATTTCATAGACTGAGCAAATCACACATTTAA